TGCTAAATTAGGGACGGCTAGCGCAGATAGCCCTCGTGTAGCTTTGCGCGAAATCCGTAACAAACAAACAAACACTATCTAAACTTTCTTGAATATAACTTATAAATTCAATGGGTCTTGGGTGAAGTGTTTTTTTTTGTCTTTGCTTAGAGTAAATAGTTTCAAGATATAAACATCTAAAAAATAGTGTTTTCTCTGTAATCACCCTGTATATTGTGCTAACTCTACGTCTACACATGTTATGTACACTCATCAATTATTTTGTAATATCTTACTGTATAGAAATATAAACAGGTTTATAAGGACTAACTGTGGAAATAGGTAATAGATGTTTAGCCAAAGATTATACTATATTCTGAAAAGGTTAGGTGTTTTGTGAACATTCAGTTAACGTATACTTTTTTTGAAAACAGAGCTCCTAATATTGTGAAATTCACTGTATTATCTAATAGTTGAAAAACATTACTCCGATATTAACAAACTTCGAGACTTATTCACTCAACTTGTTTCGAAAGTTACATGGTTAGATTGAATAGAAAATAAATACTAAGTTTATATTTACTTATCTGCCACACAGTCTGAATTAATTAGGCTGATTATATTATTAAACTTCAAATATTAAAGATTCAAAAAACTTTTAGATAAAGAAAATTTAGTGAACGTTCGGACCAACACAGTTCATTTTGAAAGATAAACACGAGTGATAAACATGATATAGATATCCATTGTATATAGAAAGAGATGGAAGGATATAGTCACATTGAAAGATGAAAATTGACAGATAAATTCATAATGTAAGAGAAAGAAGGAAGTAAAACTTACCAACTCTGATGAGTTCGGGTAGGCCTTGAGAAACTTTTATTTGGTACAAAAATCCCCAAAACATTAAAACATAATGTACTTCCATACTGTAGAGGTCTTAAACGCAACTGTCAAATTTATACAAAACGTTTAAAAGCAAGTCTTCCATACTTCAGAAACCTATATTTCAAATGCTGTCGTAGTTGTTCCTTGTTTGACTGTTGTTCATAATTTGAAACGTTGTTGAGCGCTTTCCTCGTGCCACCTGTGACAACAGGTTCAACTCAGTATACGTAAAACCTACGTCTTACTGTATACAACTGCCACGTTACGTATAAATGAAGAGACAGCCAAACAGACAGATAGATAAAACAGCTGCGTTGTGACTTTTGTAAGCACTAACCATTCAAACTGTGGCAACAAATGAAGCAACACAGAATGACGTGTTTGGATACGACCAGTGTTGTCAAACAAGCTTTGGATTGACAGAAGTAGGAAACAAACCTAACTAAAGTTTATCTTAAGAAAATCAACCTGATATCTCAAAGAAAGTATAAAATTGGTCTTGAAACTTGTTAGAAAGACCTAACTCTTTACGATATGCTAGCATATAAGCATTACGTTTAGGTGTGAGCATGACAATAGCTAAAGGAAAAACCGCATCCGTTGCTGTGGCAACGGCTCTTTGGACCAAAGTAAAGATCGGCTTCCTGCAGCTTGACTATGCCCAGACTTTATCGATCCCAGCAAGGGATCATCATCCAATAAGCCTTCTTGAGAGCTCTTGTAAATTCACAAATTACATCAATCAGATTCTGATAAATACAAACCCATTGACTTAAATAGTAGCGTTATTTTTTACTGGCCTTCTAATTGTGTCTTCAAAACCGACCATATAAAGCTATTCCCCCAAAAAATTATAAAAATTGAAATATTTCCTTTATAAAATTCAAGAACTTCCTTTCCTTGCTCGATATGTTGATCAAGTGCGTGCTTTGCCGTTTCAGTGACGCTGATCTGTTGCTACTATGGCTGACAATTTTAACTGTTATAATATAACTTGTCAAAAAACTGTTCTGAAACTACTATAAACCAAAGCAACTACTGCAAATACTAAAACATGCGTACCTTTACAATGTAAGATATATTGTCACAGACTCAGGCAGTTAAGAAGTAAACTCTAGAGAAAGTAATTCCTGTTATTTTTTATCGTTCTATTGACAAATGTAATTTTAAAGCAGAGAATCAGCTTTATAATGAAACACCATAAAATTCATAAAGTTAAAAAGGACATGCAGAAAATGATTTTATACTTTGACAAAAGTATTTGGTCAGGCAACATATTTCGTACTAAACCCAGTCGTTTATAATTATTAACAATTATCAGGATTAAAAAACAATACTTGACGATAATTATAAAATGAATAAGTACAAAATATCAAGTGTTAAAAAAATAAATTGGAAAATGTTGATAAAAAAAGCAATAAAAATGGTTCAAACAAAATGGCAGTGATACAAATAAACAAAATAGGAGAAACTAAGAGAACAATAGCACAAAGATTGGATTTACCGAAAAGCACTTGTGCGCTACTGTTAATAAACACAGGATAACTGGAACTACCGCGACTAGCTGCAGGTGTGGGAGGTCAACAAGATTTCTGCAAAATCTGGAAAAAAAAATTGTTCGAGCGACTCGGCGATGTTCTCTGATCACTGCAAAATATTTGACACAATAATTGAAGGAATTGGTTCAGGAAATTCACAATCGAATAATTCAAGAATACTTTAACAAGATGAATGTCCTTGGGCGAAAACAAAGATGTAAACCTTTGTTAAAAACAATACAGAAAAGAAAACAATTGGAGTTTTCCATTGAATACTTGAAGAAGCTTTCCATTAAATAATTGAATTATTCAACCAAATTTTATGGCCAAACGAATTCAAAATAGAGCATTTTTTAAAAAGAAAACGACAATATGTTTGGAGGAAGAATGGTTTAAAGAAAGTTCATTATATTCTGTGTTAAGCATTGCTGAGTTATATGATGGTAAGAGCTTGTTTCTATTCCTCAGGCACTGACGACCTTGGTTTGTTTGTAATTAAGCACAAAACTACACAATGGGTTATCTGTGCTCTACCCACCACGGGTATCGAAACCCGGTTCTAGCGTTGGAAATCCGCAGACATACAGCTGTGCCACTGGGGGGCGCGACCTTGGTATTGTAGAAGGATCGATAAGTGTTGTGAAGTATCTAGAAATTTTTTACTCTCATTTGTTATTCAGTGCTAGAAAGCTTGTATTGAAGTAGGTAATGACTCTAAGCATTCTGTGAAGACTATAACTTGAATCCCATTAAGCTATTGTGAATTAACTTGAAGGCTGCTGTATCAAAACGGAAACCAAAGTTGATTATAGAACCCAAAGCTGAAGTGTGGGTAAATATATATCCGGAAAGATGCCAGGAACTGGTTTCAAATACAAAAATGACAATAAATTATTAAGAAAGCAATGGGTGGGCACACAAAATACGAACGTAAGGGTGCCCAAATATTTTTGACAGAGTATGTTTTGTGTGTTATTTTATGTATATTATGTAAAAATTCGTTGATTATAAAGCGGAATCTCCTATACATGTTTTTCAGTATATTCCTTTGCTTGTGGAATTTCGCGCATAACTTCTCTAGGGCTATCTGCGATAATCGCATAACTTCTCTAGAGCTATCTGCGATAATCGCATAACTTCTCTAGGGCTATCTGCGATAATCGCATAACTTCTCTAGGGCTATCTGCGATAATCGCGTAACTTCTCTAGGGCTATCTGCGATAATCGTCTCCAATTTTGAAGTGATAGGCTAGAGGGAAGACAACTAGTCAACACCACCAACCGTAAACACTTGAGCTACTCTTTTACTACAGTATAGTGGGATCGACCATTACATTATAACGCTCTCATGGCAGAAATGGCGAGCAAGGTCGGAGATGGGATTCGAACTCGCAACCCTCAGATTACAAGTCGAGTGCCCTAATCACCAGACCGTATGAGGTATTTTCAATATATCAATTAAAAAAGATGGAAAACACTTTCTTTGTGCGTGTTTTTTTTTTAACTGCTCAAATACTTTACTTAAATATTTACCTACCGTTTTCATGTTTGTAGTTTGGATTAAACCCTTAGCTACCGTTTTCATGTTTGTAGTTTGGATTACACCTTTAGCTACCGTTTTCATGTTTGTAATTAGGATTACACCTTTAGCTACCGTTTTCATGTTTATAGTTTGGATTAAACCCTTAGCTACCGTTTTCGTGTTTGTAGTTAGGATTATACCCTTAGCTACCGTTTTCATGTTTGTAGTTTGGATTATACCCTTAGCTACCGTTTTCATGTTTGTAGTTTGGATTACACCTTTAGCTACCGTTTTCATGTTTGTAGTTTGGATTAAACCCTTAGCTACCGTTTTCGTGTTTGTAGTTTGGATTATACCCTTAGCTACCGTTTTCATGTTTGTAGTTTGGATTATACCCTTAGCTACCGTTTTCATGTTTGTAGTTTGGATTACACCCTTAGCTACCGTTTTCATGTTTGTAGTTTTGATTATACCTTTAGCTACCGTTTTCATGTTTGTAGTTTTGATTATACCTTTAGCTACCGTTTTCGTGTTTGTAGTTTGGATTATACCCTTAGCTACCGTTTTCAGGTTTGTACTTCCCTTAGAAATGGGTTAGTCATATTTTCCCAACAACCTGGAGTTTACAACTTGAGAAAATCAATATCTAGCTGAAGAAAGCCAGATAATTCCTACGCAGTATCCTGTTGAGATGAACGTGCAGAATGTACGACATGTTCAACTTGAATCAATGGGGGTTAAAGATTTTGTTTGGTATCTCTTCATAAAAACTTTATTTACATAAATACCACTAGTACATAATATTTATTTCGGTGTCATTAGAAATATTTTTAAAGCACTGATTCTACTGAAACGAAAGAAGTTGTTATCTTTGACAAAAAATAAATTTTATTTTGAAAATCTTCAAGTTCTGTAAAAAGAAAAGAAAAAGGTTTATTAAATGCAAAATGTCGAAATTTCCGAAATACTTGTTTTAATAAATTTTGGCCCGGCCATGGCCAGGTGGTTAGGGCGCTCGACTCGCAATCTGAGAGACGCGGGTTCGAATCCCCGTCCCACCAAACACGCTCGCCCTTTCAGCCGTTATAATGTGACGGTCAATCGTTGGATTGGTACAAAAGTATCCCAGAGGGTGGCGATGACTAGCTGTCTTCCCTCTAGTGTTGTGGTGTTGTGACTACACTGCTAAATTAGGGACGGCTAGAGCAGATAGTTCTCGTGTAGCATTGCGCGAAATTCAGAAAATAAACTATTCAGCATTTAGTGTTACGGTTATAGAGTAGATTAGCCCTACACTGTTTTTAGGAGAAGGTTAAAAGGCAAATTAGCTTTATCTATGTACTCAAAGTTGTATATTTTCAAAAAATATCTCTTATTACACTATTATTACAAAGATAAAAATTTTGAGATACGCAAAATTTAATAGTTTGCTTGTTTTTGAATTTCGCGCAAAGCTACACGAGGGCTATCTGCGCTAGCCGTCCCTAATTTAGCAGTG